GAATAAATCCGAAGACTGCATACATAACTTGAAACAAATACTTGCCACATAGTCAATGATTTATGATTTACCTAAATTTACTGACATCTCACATTCCGTGTTTTGGCATGGTGAATTATCACCTGAGATCTAAAATAAAGTTGATTCAATATATCTCTTTTTAAGTTCGAGCAGTTATTAATTTCTAAGATTTGGCCTCACTGTGGTAACTTCTCCTAAAACTAATTGCATGCACACACTTTCTTTATTAGTGTGATATTATTAGCTTATCTAAAAGAAGCCTTTGTATTGAGCTGTTGTCTTAGGAGTCAACCTCCGTAGCTGGTGAGACCGTTTAAGCCTCACAGCATGTAATAAACAGGGAAAAGATATTCTAGATCCATGGTAAGATTATCGCCGGATAGTTTTGCAGCCTATAGATACAGTTCAAAGATCACGTGTCATTTCTAAATCAGTACAATAATCCAGAATACGTACAAACACTTATACTGAGAAAGATATCAACTTTGATAAAGACAGATGAATACACATACTTAGTATTAATAGGTTGGTTACTTTTGATTTGCAGTTTTCCTAAACAGATGAAAGAAACAATGGCGCAGATACAGCCCAGCAATCAACAACATGATCATGCCGCAATCGTGTTACTATTAACAGTTTTACTATCTATTCCTTTATTTACCTATCGTGTATGTCATCTTTTATAAATATAGACAAGAACTATGTATGAACATTTCATCTTAGGATATCATGAAATGTTAACTGATAAACAAAACTGATCTTTAGATATCACGAGACATAAGACAAGGTCTGGTTAATCGCATAGAGCGAAATTTCGATTAAAGTAACTACAACCACGCGATGAGAGGTATGTAGTGACAAGCAGTACTGCACTGCCTGTAACAACAAGTAATAGATAACGGGTAACGCACACACATAGCACAAGTCGTGAAGCCAATATACAGAAAGGATTAAACTGTAAACATACTGATTGGATGCTAGTTGATAAGTTGATTGACAGAGTATATAGCTTGAACTCTTCGTCGGCCGATGTTATGTAATCGCCTTGATCTCTTTTCCTGGCCATAAGGCAATTAAGGTCTTTGCAATAAATAACAAGTTCTCACTCATAAAGTCGTATGTTCCGTTATTCTAATACCAGCAATAGCGATCCAACAATATCAAATAATGTATCTTATCCTGTAAAATCGAATTTGCGACATTACAGATATCATCAGGTTAAATGTTTCTATATATATGTATATCGCAGAGTGTGAGATGTACATTCACTTTTGTCAGTCGGTTCAGTCACAATAATAGCTCGCTATCTGTAAAACTGCTGTACCTGGAAAATGTTTGCAAATAAATCTTCAGTGTGTGTTTTTTTCAGGCGATAGGTCTCGATAAAATGAAGCAATAGTGACCTGATAGTGTGAAATTTATAACGTTTGTCTCTCAGTTTGTTAATCGCTTGCACAGAGAATCCTAACAATTACGTACACAGCCATATTCAGCGGATGTTATGTAAGGGCAAACTTCTGATAATTGAATCAGTTTCTCATGCTGGTTCTGATGGACATGTGGGACATTAGGATCGTAAGATTTGTCTTGCGATCAGTGTATTTTGAAGCGATTACAATATTATTTACAATCCCACTTACTTCATTTTTTATGAGATGTTTTATAGTTACATGTCACCATGAATTACGGTTTTTGCTTGTAAGCTTCACACAACTGACGAATTCTCTAAACACACTATTCTTACCATCAAGTTATTAATGCCCAAATAATGTTGCATCGATTGATTAGGTATTATACTGACAGCGGCTTTGGCAGTGTATTCAACAGACCAGCAAAAACAACACTACTGTTCCGTTTTAACTTCAGCAGTCAATGCTCAATTTTTCCCTCTCCTGGCGGCCATTATGTCATGGCCATCTTACACACGATGAAAAGTACAAATTCTAGTACTTTTGGGGTTGAATCCCATGTATCCTGGAGATTAAGTGCCTGACTTTGAGGTTGTGAGTTTGAATCCTGGATGGGACTCAACCCAAAATGTACTAGAATATACATAGTGTTCCCCCTAGGCACATTTAGGAGGGCGCTGCGCCCTGCCCTTTGATTTTTGCGCCCTGCCCTTTTTGTTTTGCGCCCTGCCCTTTTCGACTCAATTCCAGGTTTTTTTTCCAGCTGTGCTTGATTTTACAACAACCCGTGTGTATTTTCCGGATTTTATTAAGGACGGAGTTCTCTCCCTTTCAAGGGGAGACGCAAAATTGTTTTGATAATGATTAGGAAATTGGCATTTAAACCATGGCGAAGTCAAATGTGTTTAATTAAACTTTACAAATCACAATGCCTACCAAGGAAAGAATCAAATGGAAAAGAGAAGAAGCGGTGAAGGTTGAAGCAAGGAAGTGTCGCCGACTAATAGATTTCTTCGCTCCCTAACAGGTATGTGCCTCTAAGTTCATGATTTTTAGGCCATTGATTTCCCTTTCAATTTCACATGCCTTTCAAATAAGACCTTCATTTATTAAAGATAACGATGTGTGAACTACATGGGATGTATTTTGGTACGTTTGGGGGACCGATATTCATGTGACTGTGCTGTTTAGGTGAAAATCTGAAACTCGAAAATGTCCGCCATTTTGAATCCATCGGCAATTTGAAATTGATCTTGAATTATTTTGTTGTTTGTCCTGGGAAATGAAATAGTTAATACAGCTTGCATAACAGCTTCACTTGGTAGCCTTGTTTTTAGTGTTTACTGTCGATTTCATAAAAATGTAAGTCTTGAAGGAGTAAAACTATTTTACGATTTCAAACAATGGGAAGCCACACCCTTGTCGAAGCTCTCCACAGTAGATACTTACGTTCAGGTGTATTATTGTGTGTATTTTTGTTTTAATAATTATGATTGCAAATTTAATATCTAAGAATATTTTGAATATGGTATATTAACTTTGTATATATTTTTTTCAGACCGGACTTAGACGAGTCAGAGGTAGTTTCCTATGAAAATTCAAGGGCACACGAGACAGAGTCAGTTAATCCAACACAGAAGAAAGATAGTGGTCACAAGACTGCATTTGACACAAAGTGGCAACAAAACCGTCCCCTGGTCGAGGGTACTCAGAAGATGACAAAAAGAAGGGAATGATGTTTTGTTCATTATGTTCTAAATGAACACCAAGGGCAGAAACACAGATTGAGTGGAGTCAAGTAAAGGAGCTTGACACCAGTTCACCCTCCACCATTTTGAAGACTCAAGCCTCAACTTGGAAACTTGAATCCAAACATTGTTCAATTACTGTCCATTCATGCAACTGTGATTGTCCACTTCTGAAGTTGAGAGAGTGTTCTCAAAAGTGAAACTGATTGTGACAGATCATAGAAACAGACTCAGTGTTCAAAATTGCAACAGACTTCTCTTGATTAGTCTGAATGCATCGTCAGTTTCAGACATTGACTTGAAAAAAGTTGTGAACAGATGCTTGGCAAGAAAGAAAACAAAACTGTAAATTGTTGTTTGCGTGTTTTGTGAAATTGTAAACAAATGTGACAACAGATTAATGACTTGAAATGCTTTTTTTTCCAAATTTTGATCTTAAAATACAAAATGAGAAGAGTAATAATGAACTTTAGAAATAAAATTATAAGAGCATTTGACTTCATATACATTTTGTTATTGTTATTTTTTCAATAATCCTCACCAAAGTGCCCTTTTAGATTATGAAGTGCCCTTTTTGTTTAAGTTACCCTGCCCTTTCTGAATCCTAGGGGGAACACTAATACACCATATTCTTCAGCTGAGTTGACTTATTCTGATCGCACTGGCTTAGACTTAGGCTCTTTTCGCAGCCGTTTAGATGAAGAGTGAAATTCATATCTGAGTCTAAGCCCCAAAAGGCACATCTATGGATCATGCTTGACATATGTACCAAGTTTGATGAAGCTAGCATGTATAGTTTGGAAGATCTGCTCTGGACAAAATGACATCCTCATAGTCACAGCCTAAGTCATGTTTCCATGGAAACTAGTGTCGGGAATTGGTTGAAATCTCACAATTGATGATTGGTTCAATACCAATGACCAATCATCAAAATAAATTGGTTAGCGTTATTTTTTAGATTTTCCTATTCAGGTTGTAGTTGCAGATAAGTATAAAGAAAAAAACATTTGGTTCTCTGTTGTAGTTTTTTGTTTTATTTAGAAACTGCACAAATTACATTTGCAAATTTCACCTCCAGTGTAAAATGATTCAGTTCCAGTGTAACATAAACTTCCCAGATTCTTCAAGAAATATTCAATCATGACTTTTCAGAAAGTGAAGTGAGTTTTCTAAGAATTAAACACGTTTTCCGTCCCTGACAACGTCCTAGATATGTTCCATCATCAAGTATTTCAAACTCTATTACAGCAGTCCCAAAATCGTTTGTGTTCGATTATGAGAAAATGTGATCGATTGCTTGGTCGTTTTGCCACTGCGATTTCAATTAATCGGAACACCACTAATGGAAACAGCAAAACATAAAATTCATATCTGGGTCTAACCCCACAAAACACGTCTAGGGATCATGGTTGACATGTGTACCAAGTTTGGTTAAGTTATCAGGGACAGTTAAGGAGATGTACTTCGGAAAAAGTGTGATGGACACACAGACGGACACATGGACGAACAGACTCGTTTCTATATCCCCTGCAACTTCTTTGTTGTGGGGGATAAGTAAACAGAGAAACAAGCAGACACATGTGAATATGTGTGCCACGGGAATAATTATGAACTTTCCCCACGCTTTTCGGGGAGATAACTCCATCGCGAAGTGCTTGGGAAGACTGAGGAAAGGAAGGGCAAGACAACTCAATAGATATTATAAAATTTTGTCCGAAAAACCTGTGGACCAGAAACAAGTTTCAGGGAAGAAGGCAGTCAAGTGTTTGAGGGACGTAATCATAAAAATTACATAGATTTCTAGAAATGTATGGACACTTACATTCCCTTGCTTTTGGCTTTGGCTTTGATATTTTCAACAAAGAAACTAATTTCTTGTATGAGTCTTTCTCGTTGTTGCGGTGGTTCTGGGAGAACTTTAAGAGGTTCACTTTCGCTTGTCTCCATTCTGTAGTCCTGCAAGATGGACAGCAGTGTAGATACCTGTAATAAAAATATGATGTAATCATAAGAAGCGTATCCTGAAGCCCCAAGTGCCTTCGACTGTTTCAGTTCCTGGAATATCGCCCATTATAATATATTATGAAACAGTTTTCAATTGGTTTCCCGACAATCTCTCGTGTGTAAACTTTAGGCTTATTAGATGTATAGTATTAGGTAAACCAATCTTAGTGAAAATATTTTTATCCAAGGTAACAGTGACCCCCTCGAGATTTGCATAAGAATTTGTTGCTGCCTGTATATAAATCGCACAACTATGCCATAGATGTTTTAGCGACCAACAAAGTTTGACCCCTGTTATAATGATAACATTTTCTCTTGGTGCATCTCCGAGCAAGGCTTTGATATAAAGCGTAGAATCTGGCGGCATCATTTCTAAGACAGTTAACACATTGTCGAATGGGCTATCTTTTTGTTGCGAAGGGCGACAACTCTCCTTTTGAAATGATATAAGCAACTTCTCGCTTCCGGTCTGGTTCCAGACTCAATGTGCGCTGCGACAACTTGCTACATGTAAAGACAGAGCCCAGTTTAGACGTTGCCCTGCTGCACCTTCCTTCAAAAAACAATCGTTTATGATGGAAAACCTTTAACTGACACATGAAGTCTGTCCTCTACATGCACTAGGTTATTGTGTTTGGACGTTTGAATCAAACATGGTGCTGGTGTGTTTTGCACCCTTGTTTTTAGCTGTTTTTTACAATGTTTCATTTCACTCAAGACTCAACAAATATTGAATCAGTTGCTTCACTGCATGTTCCATCATGTTCCAAAAAGTTACATTTACCAAAGGACCTCACCACGTTAAAGTTTATATATGACTTTCAAATTTTAGAGCGTTCCCATACTTTTTGTTTGTAGTATATAATGAAAAGTTGAATTTGGAAACTACCCTTGAATATTGAATTGTTATAAGGTATAGCTTCCTATGCATCTGAATTATTATATTTTATAAATAAACACTTTAATATTATTTCCTTCTATTCAAAATTTAAAAACAACAACAACATTTACATATATTTCCTTAATTCAGGATAATTAAAATGCAGTCATTGTAGCAATTTGCAATATATATATCCACCATTTTTCAGTACAGTCATTTTATATATGCACCATAAACCCTTACATAAGATATGCTGTTCAGGCACCACGTTACCGGTGAAGGTGAAGGCATTGCTGGTTAACTGTTTCTAAGTCTGACCTACCAAACAAACAGTGAACAAATCCTCAAAACTGAACTCATATATACCAAAACAGGAAAATAAACTTTCAAAACTGCAACAATATCCTCTAAAACTGAAACAAACGCATCTGTAATGGAAAACTAATCGTTTAGAATGGAAACAAAACTCGCGTTTCAACTGCAAAAGCGCTTGAGAACGGTCGTAGTGTAAAAAACTGCAGTCATAACATCCCAAAACAGCAGTCATAGCATCCCAAAACGGCATAAAAATCGTCAAAGATGGCAGCGCAGGGAGACGAACAGGTTTTGGTAAATACTGGTAATGTTTTCCGTCACGATGAGTCTAATCTTGAAAATTTGATATCGGGATGTAGCGCATCAACACCTTATTGTAGTAAGCTTCAAACCTATGTTCATACTTCTCAGTGTCAGGCTTGCAATTCTGCACAGTGTGGTCCCTAGTCCAACCAAAGAGGGTTTGTACTCTGTTGTCGACATGTTGTGCTACTGTTTCTGTTCAGTTTTATAAATAAAGTATTCGTCAGGGTAGAGACTGCGATTGGAGTCTCTACTGGTAGAATCTCCGATCCTACTAGTAGAGATTGCGATCCTACTGGTAGAGACTACGATTATATGGAATAACCTATGCGATTGGAGTCTCTACTGGTAGAATCTTCGATCCTACTAGTAGAGATTGCGATCCTACTGGTAGAGACTACGATTATATGGAATAACCTATGTAAGCAAGTGCAAGCTTATGCAAGCAAGTATAATAAGTGGGGATAATGTTTTCCTATTATTTGCCAGTTATAATTGAACTTATTTATTGTTATCTTGTTAACTTTATTTGTTAAGTCTGTTTTGGAGTAAGGTATTTTGTTATTGTTTTTTGAGTGGAGTCCAAATTTGGCAGCTTGGTCTCATGATGTAAATACAGTGTTACAAACCATTTTTATTTTTTGTTTTGATATTGTTTACAGTGAGGTGTTAAATGTTTGTTATCAAAGTTTCAGTTAAAAGTAGGAAGTTCATTCAGATGTATTTCAAAACTTATGATCAGTAATTGTTATAAAAACACTGCTTTCCAAAGAGGTGGGGAAATGACCAGGTGGGGATATGGCAGATGGGGTAATGACCTGGTGGGGAATTGCCCTACACCTATCCTCCCAAAATGCCGACATGCCAATACACCTATAGCTTATAACAACAAACCAATTCTGTATTTCCTGGAGCAGTGTTACAATAAGCGAACATGCTTGTTTAATGATCATTTGAAATTTATTGTTAAATAAAGAAATGGGTTTATGAGCATTCACATATGTATGGTATTATTTAATTTGGAAAAAAAAAAAATTGTTTTGGGGATTAAATGACTAAATGTGAGTTATGTCTCTGAAAAATCAGGCGTGTGAAAAGGGCACCGAGAACATTTTTTAGCCGTGCCATTTCAATAATGACCGTGCCATGGCACACTAATATATGGGGTATTTCAAACCCTGATAACAGTTGATCTCTTGATGAAAGAAGTTGACTCCCAAAAACATGTCCATGACTCCCTCTCATGATGACTTCTAAATTTTTATGCCTAGGGCAAACACTGATTATGCAATTGATCTTGCTTGTAATCAGTTTTGTAATATATGTATATATTGTAATATGATCTCTCAAGTCACATTTGTATTTTTAGTCCTTAATATATCTGTTGAAGTGGAAACAGTCTAGTGTTATATCTGAATAAAATGCATAGTACTGTTCAGAAAAAGTGTCTTTGTTGTTTACCCACAGATCACTCGGAGTTTCTACCAGTTGAAGACGATTGCAGCCTCTACTAGTAGGATCAGAGTTTCTAAACAATATCAAAATAAAAAATAAAAATGGTTTGTAACACTGTATTTACATCATGAGACCAAGCTGCCAAATTTGGACTCCACTCAAAAAACAATAACAAAATACCTTACTCCAAAACAGACTTAACAAATAAAGTTAACAAGATAACAATAAATAAGTTCAATTATAACTGGCAAATAATAGGAAAACATTATCCCCACTTATTACACTTGCTTGCATAAGCTTGCACTTGCTTGCATAGGTTATTCCATATAATCGTAGTCTCTACCAGTAGGATCGCAATCTCTACTAGTAGGATCGGAGATTCTACCAGTAGAGACTCCAATCGCATAGGTTATTCCATATAATCGTAGTCTCTACCAGTAGAAACTCCGATCGCAATCTCTACTAGTAGGATCGGAGATTCTACCAGTAGAGACCCGATCAAGAGTCTCTACTGGTAGAGACTCCGATCACTCGATCGCAATCTCTACTGGTAGAGACTCCGATCGCAATCTCTACTGGTAGAATCTCTGATTCTACCAGATCACAGTCTCTACCCTGACATATATATTGTAATATGATCTCTCAAGTCACATTTGTATTTTTAGTCCTTAATATATCTGTAGAAGTGGAAACAGTCTAGTGTTATATCTGAATAAAATGCATAGTACTGTTCAGAAAAAGTGTCTTTGTTGTTTACCCACAGATCACTCGGAGTTTCTACCAGTTGAAGACGATTGCAGCCTCTACTAGTAGGATCGGAGTTTCTACCAGTTGAATTGGAAAATGTACTGGTAGAATCTCCGATTCAACCAGTAGAGACTACGATTGCAATCTCTACTAGTAGGATCGGAGATTCTACCAGTAGAGACTCCGATCGCAGGCTCTACTGGTAGAGACTCCGATCGCAATCTCTACTGGTAGAATCTCCGATTCTACCAGATCGCAGTCTCTACCCTGACATATTCATAGCATCACATTCAACGTTAATATATTTTGGTGATATAAAACGTTGATCACTCTTTTTGAATTGCATATCTAAGTGGACATTTTGTCTTTGAAACCATAAAGTGAACGAGTGCAAACTCAATCCACTGATTAGGGCAGGGATTTCTGTTTCAAGTCCACAGGAGGTGACTTCTTGAGACTTGTTTATACCCATGTTTATACCTCAATTTAAGCTTTATGTTTTGTTAAATGATGTAAAATGTTTGGGATTGACGATTGCAGCATGAATAAAGAGATCACCAAAAGAGAGATATGTTGTCGTACTTATCATTCATGGGCCGTCATATGGCACACAGTGTTTGGGTACTCACGCAAAAATTCAACTCGGTACTGAAAGATCTAAGAGAAGAGATGCAATGGGTCGCATTATTTCAATGCAAGTATAGGGATTAGTTAGAGGAATGTTTACGGAAAAATGATGTGATTCCTGACAAAACCGAGCGAGAACACGTTAGTACATTGTGTAACCCCCATAAACCCTACATAAACCATGAAGTGTTTTGAAATTCTCGGGGTTTTTTACTTGACATTCATATCGTTATGTTTTGGTTATGTCATATTTTGTTATATTAGATTTAAAAACAATTCATGTATTATAAGATGGAGTATGAAGACCTACTCGATCAAAACGTTATCCGAAAACATGGAGGCACCACCTAAAAAGAGAACAAAGGACGGTGTGTCCCCATTCGTGGATAAGCGAGAAAAACTAGCATCACTCTTCGTTGGTGGTAAGGGTAAACACTATGACGCAAATATACACCGGTATAGCTTAATATCTACTTCCCATTCCACCAGAACGTCAACTGTACTTATGCGAAGCACTCGATGCGGACCTGTTTATCGGTCACTGATTGAGCACCATAAGTTGCGAGCTTTATCATAGATACAGTATGTTTTTAGCTCCTTTCACCACAGCGACCATTACTGCTAAGCATTGTCAATTTAAACAAAAGTGCCC